TATATATATATATATATATATATATATATTCGAGGCTTTGTAATTCTGGGATTATGAAGAGGTATGAGTTAGTTGGCAAGGTAGACCAATAGTTTTGGGGCAGGAAAAGTCTGGCTAGTGACTCTGAAGTCCACGAAATGGGTATTTTGACAGCCTCCTAAATAACCTCATCAGCCTTTGGTCTCGGGAACTAGTTGTATTTGGCAACTTGTGGCTGATCTCTAATAGATTTATCGGCTCTTTTCTGATTGACTGTTTTGATTCTTTGTTTCTGACTGCGACCACTGCGAAATAGTCGTTCTTGGAACCATCCAATACCATGGGGAATTATCCTTCTCTGGTGATACCAACTCTCAAAAAAGGCCAGTGTGGGATGATCCTTCAAAACTTATATAAACATTTAGAACCATTGAAAGAGGAGCTTTCAGCTCGGTCCACGTACCACTTTTGCAGCAAAAACTTCAGCGAACTACCCCCATTAGAGCTAGATATCCATCAGTCCCTTCAATCTGATGTGCGAATGGAAGTTTGGGGTCCCCCGTTGTATGTCCTGAAGGCCAAGGCAAAAACAGGTTTGGCGTCTTCTAGCGAAATAGTTTGAGTGGTAGGTAACCTCGTTTGCAATGAGTTGGTGAAGCACATGTAAGACCAGAGCCTTCTCCCGATCTCATCTAGAAGGACTGGGTATACTGTTGTGGCTAACGTTATTCTGTTTGAAGGCTGACCACATGTTTAGGGACATGATTGAGTCGAGTGAATCATCGCGATTTGTGGCTTGGCTACAAGTCCTCAAGAACAGATCTATAGCACAATGGTCAAAGGCACTGGGTACGCTTGATAATAGCATATTAGGGTACCAGTGGAACTAGTCGATGACGGAATCGTAGGACCGCTGAGGCTGTTTCATCTTTACCAAAGTGCGCTGCCAGTGGACCGTACAGATATTATTTCCATTGTACCATTGGTACGGTGCCTAAATATTTATTTTGAGTTTGTTGAACGTTTTAGAAAATGCATGATGGCATGAAAGCGCACAGGACAACATAGCTCCGACAACTCAGCCGTGTTATCATTTAATTGTTTTCTGATGGAAAGCCGTGACCGACTTTGGGGAGTAAATGGAATTTTCGCAACATCTTTGAGCAGAGCGTAAACCAGAACAACATGACTACTTGTGGATGCCAATGCGGACCAGGAGTCTGACAAATACTAGGCAACGATTGCTTTGGACCGTAGTGGATCTTAGCAAAAAGTTCAGCCATACGAGACCGTTTGTCTGTCAACGTCGCACTGGTGAATTCCAATGGAGGAAGGCCTCTCACTGCTGAACGGTTCGGGATCTGGCTACGTATTTACTGTAAAAACGTGGAACATTACTAATTTGCAACTTCTAGGGCGCCTCTGCTAGCGGTTTTTGTGGAACGGGAAACCAGTTTGGATACATCAAAGAATTTCCACCATGAACTGACGGCAAGCAAGGTCAGCCTGGCAAAATCGATGGTGTGATAACTGTTGAGATGGACGGATGACGGAAGCACGTCAAGACGAAAAAACCTGGACTATTCGTTAGGGAACACTTGTTTGCAGATAGTGTACAGTAAGCCGTTTTGGAGGAATGGTATACCATCGACTGCATGGAAAATAGCATTTTTGAGAATTTTTTCACTGCTCCACTCAAAGAGATCACTTCTACTTTTGATAGGTTCTCTCAGATGGCCTCTCGAAACTCGACGACTACTACTTGACATCCTTCCGTTCATTCTTTCACATCCCCAACATTGCTCTTGCAGTCTGAACATTCGCCGACAAATGAAACACCACAGCCGCAAACGAACCGTGTTTCCCTCCTATACTGTCCGATCTGTCGGGAGGAGTTCAATACTTGGCCACTTATGGAAGAGCATTTGTACGAGTCACATGTGACACCAATCGCACCAGTTTGTTGGCGCTGTCAGGGTGTGTTCGCCAACCACAGTCTGCTTTTAGCTCATGAGTGTTTTGATTGGGGTCGGTTGAATCTTCCATGTCAGGCCGTCGTGGATGGTTCTACAGTAGCGACCAGTCGTCGGCGGGCGATACTACAGAACTCGAGTCACCTGGACTATCCACCCGATGGTGTCTTTCTCAAACGACGTTGTGGGTTGTGTTTCAAATCAACGGCGTTGTTTACCAACTACCACAGTTTTCGTCGGTAAGTTCGAGCGTTTTTCTGCATCCACCCTGCTTCCCGTTTGTGAGTTGCAGTTACGCGAAACATTGTGCTAATGCGTCAGCTCTGGGGTTTTCGATCACCAGAGTTAGAGCTTTCCGGTAAGTCGAAAATAACGAAATGCTTTACGAACTACGGTCATCCGTTCAAGTCTCGTGCTTACGGTTTGTATGACAGGTATCCTTTGGTAAGGAACTACAGCCAAATAATTCGTCGCTTACCTATACCAGTAAGAAGAATATTGGACCTATACGCTGATTTGCGTGCCAATCGGGTTTTTGAAGGAGACTCGCCTAGAACCCAGTTGAATCTATCGTTTATGGCGTTCCTAAGCAACTGAATGTGCTGCGCCAAGTCGCTTCATGTGTCGTTTGGCACGAAAGGCCAGTATTGCCACGGATTGCTCAGACGTAACTCATTACTCATAAGGTTGCTGAAAACTCTTCGACAGCCCACGACCGGTTTCGCCCTTCTTGAGGCTCATGAGGCAGGCTCAGTCCCCGAGTTTCCGTCAACACTATACATTGTATCAATTCAGTCAGTTTAATTTATCAACTATAAACCGTGTGCCATAGGCACATTGGTTCTAGCTGCTACAGTTTTCGTCACGGGAAAGTGGGAAAGCACATCCAGTGGATTAAAACATAATAAATGAGAAATTCAGCTGGGTTTCAGCCGAGTCTCCCGTCAAAAGAAATGAATGTATTTCGCTTATTTCGTGCAATTTGGGTTCTAGTAGAACATAAATTTGACGGAAACTCAGGGAATGTACCTACCTAATGAACTCCAAGAAGGGCGTAACTAGTCGTCGGCTATCGAAGAACTTTCAGCAACGTTCCGAGCACTGTATTACGTCTATACGAAGAACATTCCCTTCGAAATTGTAAAACATATCGTCCTGTTCATTGTGTTAATTATTCTACCCAGGATGTATTACGCTATCAGCCACGGTGCTGTAAGTTATCGAACTCAGTCTAATGCTAATGACTTCGGCCCTGAATCACTCTTACTAAGGTAAGAGCCACTAATTCCATGTATCACCTCAATCTCTGGTGCTATTCCAGAGTATGAGTGTATTCTGCAATGAAGTCTGGGCAATCAATCATACGTACGACTACCCGTCAGAAGCCAGTAACGCATCTTCTATCTCTCAGACGTAAGTTTTGGTGGACAATCCAGTTTTCAGCGCTACCTTTCGCACCTTGGTTTGCTCACTGGTCGTAGCGTGTTGAGCAACCTACTCACGGTTTTACCAGGTGTTTGTTGTTTGACACCATCTCCAAATGTTGATAATTGGTTTTTGTAACTCACAATATATGACACCTTCCTTTCGGTTGAAATTCTGGTTCGAGGATGGCAATTTTATTGCTTGTTTACTGTACAAGGTTCACGATTTTATTTACTGATGGATTGATCTCAGGAACAGTGATAAGCCTACAAGGTCGAAAAATGGGTGACATCAGGTTCTCCTTGCGACGTCCTCACTTATGTCGCCTAAGGATGTGGAGGCCAGTTTGTAGTCTACAAAACTAATTTCCATGACCTATTAGCTGAGGTGCGGATGCTTATGGGTTTGGAATATCAAGATGGGAAATCCACCCGTATGTAAGTCTTCTACTCTCTTAGTGGGTGGTGCAATTTCCTTGGCAATATTCCGTCTTCAGGACGATTTCCATAGTGAAAAACGTTTCTTTGAGATGTCTCCCTACTTTGATGTCTCATCGGAGACGAGGACAAAGATTCCTGATATGTGGCTCTTTGCACGACATTTTCTAGTTCTTATTTTCGTATTGAGTTGTTCAACCCATGAATATTGGAATAATCGTCTGTGATTTTACACCACTTGATTGTTGCATAAAACTACTAAGAAAAACCAGGAAGCTTTGGAAGAATGTCTCCTTCGTTTGAATTATCCTAATTTGCTTGGTGGAGTTAGTATTCTCATTTATCCGCTTTTCAAAACACCGATTTTAGTTAAGCCCATGGATCTATGAACTCATTAATGTTTATTATGGTCGCAAAAATGCTGAAGTAGTTTGAAGCGAGTTTGGTTCTTGTGGCCAACAATCCGATCAGTTGAATATCGATTCAGACCGAATTGCCTACCGATTGGCTTTACGGTGGTTTTGTCGTGATAATTCTAATACGAAAGTGTGCTGTCCTCCCATTCCAATAAGCATTTCAGTATCTGGCACCGTGCAAACTTATATTTGGAGCTACCGTTCTACTTGTTGAGCTTCAGATTCAGGCCTGATTGAACGCAGTTTAGATTGGGGTCCCTGGCACAGAACAAGTATGCAGTACGCTTACACAGCCGTCTACCTCTGGAAGGACCAACCCCAGGGACCGAGCACACATTGCCTGCTGCGCTTTGCAGTCTGTTCCCTGAGAGACTATACGATTGAAATACACTTCATGGGACAAGGTGGGGTGATTTTGTATGATGGTCGTACCATAGAGGTGAAACTGTAATACTGTACTGATTGGTGGCACTGTCTTTTCATGCATTGTGATCTATTTAGCTTAAGAAGCGCTGCCATGGGCTCTAGTCCACTTTATATCATTAACTTCATTTCCCAGTAATTTCGGTTCATAGGTGTTGATGCGAATTGGTAAATTTTTCACACTGTATTCCTAGATGCTTGCCATCTAAATAGGACGGAGCCAACTATATAATCAACTGTCAACTAGTGCACTGGATTAACTCCTACGGGTTGCGCACAACTAGCGGATGTGTAGTTGAGGTAAACCAGAAACAGTAGAACTCTCCAGATGGTACTGATTTCCGGCATCTAGACAGACTACTGTAATCAGTATGCTGTGAAAGTGAGAACATCTTCCTTACAAGTTTGTCATTTTTAACTAATATTTCAGTCACAAAGAATCCGAACATCCCTCTGACTCCACACAGATCTTATCAAATGCTGTTCGCCCTCGCTGGAACAAACACAAGGTAATCTATTTCGGTATTATTGTACGGGTTTAGCGGATTGTTTTAATACATGACCATCATTCCTAGTTTTTCTGGGTAACCGACAATGGCCCTGGAATGCACGCCCCCTCCAATGTGAGCCATTTACCGATAGATTCGTACGAAGGTCTTCAGTTACCATCTAACAAAGTGGTGGAGAGCTCACCTGCACGGGTCTTTTAACCACACTGAAAGCCGCATATTTCGTGGAACCTGCATACCCCCCATATTTTCAGTTTATCCCCTTCGTGACCTGCTTAGGAGACGAGCAAATTTTCGATCTGTTATTTCGGGCTGGCCTAGCAGGTTTTATTTATTCATATGACTGACAGGAAATTGGCGCTATGAACCACTCGATTCCTTTTCAGTTCGTCAACTGACAATTCACTTAACCTTTACTGGCTCAGTTTCTCAGTTTGTCACACCGTTTTTTTAACAAGTTATTCGGCGGAATCTCAATTAACGCAGTAATGCCTTTTAGATGTTAAATGGGTTGCCCAGAAATGGAATACTTTAGCTTGTATCACTGACGGGGCTTACCAGCATGCTGATCGTGGAGACTGCACAGGTGGAGTATGTAACGTTAACAGAGCATAATTCCGTATGCATATGCGACATGCTCTGGAATGGTGAAAACTGTTTAGTCACTTAGATGGGAGTTCCTTACACAGAACGAGTGTCTACCGCTCTTTGTGAGCTTTCTCCTCTTTTGTTGGTCACTGTTGGGTGTGTGGACAGGAGATGCCTGTTCATTCCAATTTAGGTCCACCGTTTTTCGATAATCTACAGCGTTCAATGCTTACCATATTATTTTCGATTTGAGAAGTTTAGTCTAGCTGACTTTTCCGTTGTCATGACCTCCCTTTGGTCGAACAATCATTTCTTCGTACTGCTTTGCATCTGTGATGTGTAGTCCCCCTACTTAGGGGTCGTCATTCATATTCCTTGTTACATCTTTTTTTCGTTGCCCAGCGTTTCGATACGAATTTCGAGGACGAGTTCTCTCATCCGCAGTCAGTGGAGACCCTCCGGTCCACACTTCAGCGATTGATGACTCAGTTTCAGGCCCAACCGAAGGATCACTGCGCGAAGTCCAACAAACGTCGCAAGCGTTTCTTTCGGTCGCGCGCAAAGAGATTGTCTGCAGCCCAAAGTGCGTCGTTGTTACACGCACACTCGTCAAGTTGCACCTCTAGTCCACGTCCGGTGGGTAGTTTTAAACCGATCCCCTGTAGATTTTGATATTTCGAACTGAAAATAACGTACGTCTTCCGTGACACTGAGCTCTACACTGTCGGATCACTTCGAAGCAAGTTGATCTCTGGTCTGTTCGTGTTGCTCCCTATACCTTGTCCTTTGCATCCGTCTTCCCTATGACATATCACTTTGAGTGCCTCAGAAATTAACCTTTTACGCCTCCTTGTTTCCCGAATCCCGACACCTTGTCGAAGCTGACTATCTCTGACAGTGAAGTGACACACACCTGTAGTCTAGTCAACACGTGACCACTCTGTGCTTCAGTTCCAGTCAGTACCTCAACGGGTTTTGAGTTGCTACACTGAGGTTCTCGAAGGTAAGGTACGACAGCGCACGGACGTTCCATTGCACAGTCCAAAATAATTTGAAGTTTAACTCTAAGTTCATTGATGTTTGGTGCTCTCCGTGTTGGTGTGCACTGCGCGTGGACTTGGTGCTTCTTCAGGCACACTGAAGCACATAAACTTGGCGTACTTCTGTTTTCGCTTCACCAGCTGTGCTGTGCCCTGAACATCGAGGAGCGTTTACCAGAGTCTTGGTCACCAAGGCATTATCATCGCCGCACTGAATGCACAAGTTATTTCAACGTTTCAATCCTCTAGTTATTGACAGCAATCGGGCAGTTACTCATCGGTTGAAGACAATACTCCTTTTAGATTTTCTATGTGGTTGTATGGGACGCGGTTGTGTATCGCTTGTTTGAGCAAGAAATTTCTCACCAGACGTTTTGAGAATTTTATTTCGGCTCATTTAGTATTGTCTTTCACACTCTTGTCCTGCATGATAATATTTTCATTTGTCATTAGGCCTGCTTTTTTGCCCAATTGGCATTCTGCGCCACTACTTCACTGCAGTCTGCTTTTGGAACTGTTTTGACACACTCCTAAATCTACATCAATCATCATCGACAGCGTGACATCAGTGTCCAACACCGGTGCTTCACTGCCGTACGTCAATATATTCCACTTATCTCGAGCTGATTGAGCCTTAAACTCTGTGAGACCATGGCCAAGTTGGTGTAGGCTTTACGTACTAAAATGGATTCGACAGGAGTGCTTTGATTAAGCCGCTACGTTACTTATTGAATCGTTGTTGAAATACCTCGGGTGAGGCCTTACTCGTGAACTAGGTGCGTTAAAATTTGCTTACTTGTTCGATTGTAAGTAGTATCAGAATTTGAACTTCTCAATCCCCTCATTTTCCCTAGGACTCCGTGACAGACGACGCGACAGATACACCGGCAGCCGTGCCCAGTAATGATTTCATTGCTCCATGCTCCACAGGGTTCACGACTGGGACAAACTGTTGGCGATCATATCCTGGTTATTCGGGAAACATGTCACTTTCGAAGCGATTGAGACTGCACCGAAAACGCGCTCCTGTCGTCAGCACCACTCGTGATTCCCCATATTTACGTGGGAGCCGATACGACAACCCATATAACAGAAGCTACGGAACGATGATCGGTCGATTCGCGTGTAAATGCTGTTCTGCCACTTTTCGTGTGGCTTCTCGCCTCAGGGTATGTTCTATTACATCATTTAACCCCCGATTAATGTACTGTAATTCCCTCGTCCACTTTCAACAGTTTTCGGTGGATCTAGTCCCAACGGTAGATCCAAGTAGTTTTGTTTTGTTTATCTGCATGAGTATACAGTGATTCAAAAGGGATTTCATTTAGTCTGTACTGAAAAACCGGGAAGCACTGTACAGCTCTTTAATCTTTGCTGGGAATCACCAGCATTGCCTATCTCACGAACCCATGGTCTTCTGGCCAGTGGTTAAACAATTAGCCGTTTGGCTAATCAGTAGCGCGATTAACTCTCACCTAGACAGAACGTAGCGCTACTCACCCCCCAACTACGGAAACCATATCACGTGGTCACCTGTTGATTGGCCCCACCAGTGACGACTTACGAAAAGGAAGTTTCGCATGTCTAGTGAAATTATTCTCCATCTGAGCTGCTTATTGGGACATGGCGATGCGAGGAGATCTGGTAATATTCAACAGAGATTTCATCCTACCGTTGACATGTTCACCACCGGTGATACTCAACAAGGACGAAACAGCGCACGGTGCTACTGAGTTTTTCAACATAGATTTGCTTTACTTACAGGACGAAATATCAATTGAGAATTCGCAGAAATCTCGCACTATCAATAAATGAAACAATTTTCGCACTGGCTTGCGTGATGGACCGAATTTAGGGTTACCGAAAATTACACGTAATAATCTCGGGATTTCCTCGGGTACCTAAAGAAATCCGCTGATTTCTTGTGGTGGTCGAGCGGTATTGCTGCAATGATCTCTCCGTAATTCAGTTCACTTGGGATCAATTACACCAAGAAGGTCAGAAAGGAGCAACCGACAAAGAACAGCGAGTCCCCGTTCTGCGGAAAGCCATATTGTGTGACGGTCTGGACGTAAAGTCGTACTGTTCTCTGGTAGGAGTGTGAAGGCAATAAAGTATCTACTTCAGGGGGTCAGTATGTCCATACTTCTTTCGCTACCTGTGTAAGTAGCGATACTGCCTTCGATTGTGGAAGAATGGCTTGGAAAAGGTTGGCCCTAAAAATAACACACTCGCATCGTCCAACAGTTGTCCAAAACCTCTCGCTAGTTATTCATTATGGTAGAAAAACAGGTAAACCTTACCATGAACCCGATGCGACTCCAAACTCATTTGTTGATGGTATCAGCATCAAGAATCCGGTATGTATTTACTTTCTGCACCCTCGGGCCAGACCAGCTCCCTGCAGTCACGTGAGTCAGACTGATGGGTCACAATTTACTCTTCAGGTGTCTGGCAGTCCTGATGCAATGGCTTTTGATGTCCACGGCGTGGGACTTATGCTTGGCTCCAGGGTCGACTCTCGTTTATGGAACAGAATTTCAGTAAATCCTCATCTTTGCGCTGCTCGGTTGTCTGACTGATTTGAGGTCTGGGCGTGGTAAATGGTGTTGGTTTACAGTGTCCGCATACGTTCCGACGGATAGCAACTGGGGGACTGAGAAAGGCAGCTTTCGAGATGTATCACGATTGCTTCGGACAGAGAGAAGTGCAAGCTTAGGGATTGTACCGAGGTACCAAGTTCACAGGTAGTCCGTCTTGGCGGCCGATTCGGTGCAGGTAATGGAGGGCGACTTCTTCACTTATCCATTGGCTGTCATGTGTTCCTAGCCAACACGAGCGTTTATGCCGTGTTACATGGAGGCCACGAACTGCAAACCAGAAGTGGGCTCATTTGGGTGAAGTGGCGATCAGCTACCAGTGGAGAGTTTTATTCGAGAATCTCATTCATTCTATGAGCACACCACCTGACTCTGATCGTGGCATTTTGCGTGCATGCGTATCCATTCGCTTTCGTCCCGCAATGTGCCTGTTGATTCAAGACCATTCTGTTCACAACTTACATGTCTCTATAGCCCAACGGCATGGAGTTGGGTTGGCTGAAAAGCTTCCAAAACTCGACGGCGACAACGATAACAATGCTTTGGATGACGACTGAGAATATGTGAAACGCCATTTTTACAGTCTTCGAGACCGTCTACCTGAGGTCGTACTCCGATGAATACTGGATATCATCACGATCAGCAGCGCTCATTGATGTCAGGAGACCCATACCAGCGACACACGGTGGCTTGCATATCCACCTAATTCAGAATGACCAGGAGCCTAGGGACTGACACAGAGTACTAGTGAATAGCGACGGCCTGAGAAACGGGGACGTTTCCAACAAGAAACGAAAAAACACGCATCCTAACTAATCCGATCATCTATTCCGCGGCTTTAGTGAAACGATCTCCGAAAAGGTTGTGACCTCACTTCTTTCACAGAAATATCGTCTCGAACGGTGGGCTGATCACTTTGAAGGGCAGTTCAGCTGGCTCCTACTGAGTATAGTTCTGGGAGGACCGAATGAACCTGAGTGGAACGGTCGACACCATTTCGCCATCGACAGGACAATCCAGCAAGCAATTGAATTGATTCAACCGAACTAGGCATCTGGCCCAGGTGGTAATCATACTGCAGTCTTCTTGTGTGGCTGACCTGACGACTTTACTCAAAACTACCTCGAATGAAGACAGAATACTAACAGAATGGGGCGCCTCCACATTGATTTCCATATACAAAGAGGTTGCAAGAACGTCGGTCGAAACCACAGCCAGTCTAATGGTCATAGCTTCCAGATTGCTGTCTGGTACAATCCCTACAAAGGTTCGTCCACCATCTGGAGAATCACATTCGCGAGAACCGAAATGAGTTTCAATCTGGCCGTGGTTGTAGCGACCACATATTTACTTTGCGACAATACACGTAGTTGAGCTGCGCCATCCTTCCGACGACCAACAATGATCGTCGTTCTCTACCTCCGGTTTGCTTTTAACTCCGTTGACCCTCGGAAATTGTGGCAGTGTCTGACAGTGGAGGGAGTTCCTTTTAAATTTTTGCTTCCTGTAAGGACTAGATATGCTTCCTGTCTTGGATGGGCATGTGTCTACCGCAATCTCCCTCTTTAGTTCACTCGTCAAATTAGTCGTGGCAATACCACTCATCACAACTTTTTATGTAATCATGCTTTAGCCAATAAACTACACTACGCCATCTATCTGGTACATTTTCTTATGCGCTAAGAGAAGGAGGTGGGGGGGGGTGGGCAGTTGTTCGACAGTTGTTTCGCCGGTACTCTAAAGTCGAATCATGCTTTAGCCAATAAACTACACTACGCCATCTATCTGGTACATTTTCTTATGCGCTAAGAGAAGGAGGTGGGGGGGGGTGGGCAGTTGTTCGACAGTTGTTTCGCCGGTACTAGTTCTAAAGTCGAACCAACATATTTCTTGTTTGACCCTACATCTAACTATGTTCCCAACGGTCTGAACGGTTACTGTGGTTTCCACAATAGTCCCATCATTTAGGCTTCATAGTTGTGGAAACACTATTCCGATCACCTATTCATCCTGCACTCCGCCTGGGGCGGGATGACCCAAGTGGTTAGAGCGTGAATTTACTGACCGAAGGTCCGTTGGTTCGAATCCGACCTCTGCCTCTCGACTTCCCCTGTCTAGGCTTGGGCAACCCGGCAGTATCCCAGCCCTCGTGCCTCCTTCGTGTGGCATGACAGCTAGGGACCGAAAGGGTGCTACAACCGAATGATTTTTCTCTACACTCCGCCTAAACTTACAGGATATTGAGGTTCCCAGAACGCGTCATACAACACACCTATTGCTGTAGCCGCATGAATTTTTGACTCGATCCAGACAAAACTGATGAAGTGTCATGTTATTTTGTCTCCATGGGACACGCTACCCGTATGGTTGTTGAAAACCTTTCAGCAGTGTACTGGATTATTCGAACGATGTTGCAACTGAAACATGGGTGGTCTTTGTGCAGCACGTCCAGTTGAAGGATATCATCTGGGCTTCAGCTGGGTCTTCCATTGAAACTAAATTGGTGTGCAAATAGGTGTGTTTCACCAATCATGCTTTCTGTTGGGAAGGGACAAAGTGCTAAATAAGCACAAAATAGAGTTATTCCAATGTATGTGAGCTTTGTATTCTTGGAAACCAAGGGATGGCGTTTTGGCGTACTTTTGATAAGTTTTGCATTTTTGTCTACTAACCTTAACCGAAGAGCAGGATCATGCAACGTTGACGTGGCTCGCCAGCATTTCCCACACATTTTCGAACGGGTTCCAATATGTGGGACAGTTTACTAACGGAGTATTTCGGGGGAGCAATCGTTCTTGCACCAACCGGATTAAAGCACTGTCACGTTAGAATGTCTTAGCTTGCTCTCAGCAAAGATGCACGACGGTGCTCAGTATGTGTCGTTACACACGAATCACTTATTTTTTACCCAGTGTAGCCCATTATGGCTCACATATCACTGAACCAGCATATTCTCCTTCGTGATGTGATGTGGTGTGTGTCTCCTTCGTGATGTGGTGTGTGTGTGTGTGAATTCCTCGTTTCTGGAAGATGCGTAAGTCTGAAGCCAACCCATCACAAACGCTAAGATTGTATCTGTTTCATTACGGAGTATCAATTTCTTCTCTCTGATCCCATAACTAATGGTCTTCCGTGATACTTCGTGCTGGATTGTGGCTAAGAGAATTTTCTCATTTTGCATGTGTTCCAAGATGAAGACCATCCAATTCTTTGATGGACATGCTTAAAGATCAGTTGAGGGGGAACTCATCCAACTTTTTGATGATCTTGATACTATTCGGAACGGTCTTTGTGACATTCCAGCGTTAGAAAGCTGTTTTCCTGAGAACTGTACTCGGAGGATTTGGCTGTAAAAAATTCCATAAACCTTTTTCGTCACAACGCCTCCGATTGTTACTCCGAACCAAAGCTGTTTCTTCTGCTCCCCTTGAACAGCTGTGATGTGCATGTCATCCTTGACCTAACCTGGATGAACTGTTTCCGTTCAAATACAAGCTTAACTTGTTTTCGAAAAAGTTTGGTGAAAATCGGTAGATTTATTGCTGGGCAACGTTTCGCTTTTGACAGAAAAGCTTCGTCAGGCCAAGTGACTAGGTTCCGAGGTTGGTCGAGATTTAAGGCGGAAGAAGAACCAATCAGCTAAGTCAATGCGAAATGTCTGTTGGATGTCGGCCGAGGGATTCTTGTGTGTTAGGGTGGGTGAACAAGTGTTGGGTCGGTGGGGAACCTACATGTGTTTGGGTCCAGCCTAGGCTCTAGTTCTTCTGGTTTGGTTCATTTGATGGTCCCTCTTGAACGTCGTTTGAACCGACTGTCCGTCTGTGTTGATGAGCTAGTGCTAAGATAGTTGTGTAAGGGGGACGCTGTGACCTTCGGTCGGGTTGGGATTTCCACCACCACCCCCACCCCCCGGTCTTTTGCTAATGATTCTACGTGGATTGACAACCACACAGTCACGTGTCAACTCGGCTTAGCTAAGACCGCTTTCCATATGCTCGCCAGTTCCACACCCTTGATTCTATTCACGCTGTGATGCCTAGTAATTTCCACCGCCTCGGCTGTCAACCTCTGTGGTGTGAATCGCAGCCCCGTCTTAAAACTTCCACATTCTCCAGTGTCTAAGGCATGTACCGCCATCGCTGAGTCTTTGGCCAGCGTTTGGTATTCTGCATTCCTTGGTGGTTTGTTTATCCTTCTTTTATGCTCACCAGTTCTGGTGTGCAATTCCCTGGCAGTTTGTCTCATGTAAACCTTAATGCAATCGCTGCAGTTAATTTTATACACGCAACCCCTAGTCCTTTCAACCGGCAGGGTGAATGGCATGGTAGATAACACTTTGTTGTTGACGGGGAACGTCACTGTGTGACTATACACACCTTGCATTTGTGTTGCTCCCCGATGTGTGTTCAATCGACTGTCCTGATGAAGGGGCCTGTACGGTGTTTCGTGCCATCTGTGAACGCGGTATTCCCTAAGTTCTCCGAGTATCAGCTCAAACTTGGTCGCATATTTCAGCTTCAAATTTAGGAACGTACTACATTGGAAGGAAACTGTTGAGAATTTGAGGGTTATACGTTGACTGGATGGCCATACGTGGCGCATGAATTTTGCATTCCGAATTGAAAACTCCAGCTGGTTATGGAACCGCTGTCAGCTGGTACTCTGGATAGTATGAACTGTACGCACGATACCTTGGCGATTGGTGTTTCTTTGAAACAGTATTTTTTATTGAATGTTATTATAATAGCAGGAAGCATTAACAGATTTTTTCATTTTTTGTAGGCCCACTATTTATTCAAACACGGCCACATACCACAAAGTTTGGGTGGTTTGTCTCCTACCGCAGACGAAGCTACCGCATCATCACGCAACAGAATGGTGCAATCAGGCGTTAAGCTCGCATCCCGCCTCGGAACCAAGCGTGAACGACAATCCAAACGCCACCCTAAGCGGGCAAATCAAAACCAACAGCCTTCAACATCCGTGAATTCGAGTGGTTTACCCGACCAATTGGAGACTGACCCAATGATCTCATCCACAGCAAACACTCTGAATAACTCCACAGAATCACCTCGAACTCCTGGTCCAAGGAAGAGCATCAGAGGTTTTCCGGTTGATTGGCTGTCTGTAAGTGCTCGCTTTTCCTTGATTACCGAAACCGGTTTTTGTCCATTTTTGGGCGGCTATCTATGATCGTTGGGTATCGAATTCGTCGACTTGTTCGTTACCACTCGTTTCCATTGGCACAAATAAATTTTATGCACTCCCATAACACGACAACCGATGCCGTTCCCGCCTTCAGCACACGCTGTCACTCAAATTTCGGTCGACCGTATCCTATTTTCCGCCCACTGAGAACGCGTTTGCAACCAGGAGCTTTTGTCTCACAGGTCATGGTAGATGCTGGTGGCGGTGATGATGTTGAGTTATGGGATATCAATTGTCCCATTGCTTTTGTCGCCTAAACGATATTTATTGTTTACATGGTACCTTTATTGATGTTGGTGAGAACGGTATCGATTAATGCATGAGTTGGAATGGAAATGTCGTAACATAGTGCCCATGACGTTTTTTTTTAGCAAATTAGGGACACAACAGGCCATGACATGTGATCAACTGGGAAAACCATGTAACAGCGGTGTTTGATCAATTATCTCGGAGTTGAATGGAATGCGATACTGTGTGTATGAGCTGTTCTTGTCCTCTAACTGTGTTTGGGACACGTATGTTAACGAATTCATGTGCAATGTTTCCTTTATGCTCGACAGATGCATGTCATTTATCCTTAGATTAGTAGTAAGTGGCAGTGCACTCTGGGGGATGTACACCAGGGATGGAGTCATTTAATGGGGCGATCGATAAATTTGCATGCACACGCTCGGAAGTGCTTCTTTGAGCTCCATGCGCAAAACCTGGCGTCAGGTAATTGAAGTGATCAGTATATGACAGATTTTCCAGCGAACAGTGATCGAACGACGGAGTGAGGCTTCAGTTACTAACAATGCAAACGTAGAGCACAATAAACTACAAACACAGACACGTTTTGCGAGCTCTTCCAACTGGCCTGAGCATTATCACACAGGAACAATACCACTTGATGTCCTTGTAGTTGAATTGTCTGGTACATCTACAGTCAAGTGTCCACCGTTGTATTGAACTAGATTCTTATAGTACCGCTCGGACAACTCACTCGATGCTCAACTGGTAAAATAATGTACCCAGTTCTAAAGTGTCAGCTTCAACCTACCATACTTGGTTGAAACTTCCTACACCTCGGACGCCGGCCAATGCTCACACCTTAGAGCGGGGGCTCAGAGTGCATCAGGGGTCCTCTTTTTCATTGTATCTGTATTGTAGACTGTCTCTATCGACTTATACTGTGAGCATAATGCAGAGAGCTTTCAGCTGCACCGGACTGACTCAGCCAAAAATTTCGACCAGCCATTTCGGTTTATAAGCTGTAAACCACGCATTAAGGGTACACTGGTTCTAGCTGTTACAGTTCCGTTGCCAACTTACAGGTGGCACACTTCCAACAGAGATGCAGCTTCGAAATGGCGAGTTCTGCTCGTACTATGTTGGTCAAAGTTTTCGGGTGGATACAGTTTATAGGAAAGTGGAGAGGGATCTTTCTCCGCAAAAAGTCAGGTATTTTTTTGGGTACTTTGAAAAATGTCTTCCTAATACAGGATGGCGCGTTGCGGTAAAAGAGTGTGGCGTGCATAAATATTCTGTAGAAAAATGAAGGAGAGCGTTATCCAGGAAGTACAACCGAATGCTTCTGTTCGCTTGTGTCGTTCAACGGCTGCCAAATGTGTTTCAAAAAGGTACTCTTTCTTAGGCAACAGTCAGGTATTCTTCATTGCCCCTCTTATCAGTCTTGAGGATAAAATAAGGATTCTGGTACAACGACCTTCTTTAATCAGTTATTTTTAGCCACTCCCTCTCCCGGTTCGCTAAAATACATCATATTTGTTCCTTTCCCATGTCACTCAATATACATTATAGATATGAGGATAAGAGCTTTTTGTTTGCTATCTGCTGCCACTAATCGATTCACCCTGGAATTGTGGTTGACTGACTAACAAGCACTCCGATCGCTGTGTTCGTTCACTATTCGTTCCCATGGTAATGTGTCGCTCAAACCCCCCGAACAATGTGATTCTTTCCTGTCACTCAAACTGAGTTGTTATAGTCTATAGCCTATTTTACGCGTTATTGTGTTCCCAGTTTGTCGGAACATTTTAATGCTTCATTCTGACATATACTTTGACACATCCAATATATTTAGACAAGAGTTCATGGTCACGGGATCTCGTTTGGCACTTCTCCCTTGATGGTCATGCACAGCACCAGGAGATTGCGTCACTGGGTACCTTGAACTCTTTTTTGACGGAAAACTGTTACCCAGTTATTCATTACGGCAAAAGGTACTTGCGAACAACCAAACGTAAAAATAAGAAACGAGTTTTTCTTGTTTTACCACAATTCAAATGACGCTTAACTCTTTTCATTCACTCAGAGGAAAACAACAGTTCTTACCACAGTGTCCTTCTCTAGGGAAACTCATCCTCATGGCGGCTGATCCCCTCAGAATCCCTTTCAGAATCAATAGAAAATGAAACATTCAGCAACCGAGTTCATTCACGCTTTTGGACCCGTTCACCCTCTATCGAGACCATGACTACTGGAAGATATAATCGGGTTGTTCACTTTGTTTACCTACATTGCAAATGCGTAAATCGCAAATGTAGCATATTAGGCTTGTGGGTCCTGCTAAGGCAGAAGAATCACAATGTACGCACAACGAAACGGAATACTCAGCAAGTTGTATCACCGGCTGTCGTAGTTCCAGCCTAACGCATCTGCAGAACCCCTGGAAGAAAGAAAAATTGAAGGTTGTCTAAATGATGTAGTTCAGAGCGACTTGTGCGATCTCGGTGTTACATTGGAAGATTAACAGAATCTAGTAGGTTTTCATAAAGGAAACTACTCACAAGGTTGCTGAAAACTCTTCTTCGACAGCCCACGACTGGTTTCGCCCTTCTTGGGGCTCATCAGGTAGGCGCAGCCCCCGAGTTTCCGTCAACCTTGTGGTCTACTTGAACCCAAATTACACTGTTTTTGAGAAATACACTCATTTGCAAATCAATTTGGTTTTCACGGAAGAATCTAGTAGGGGTTGTCAGGATTCCCCTACCATACGTTTTCTGACGATTGTAGGAGTATAACCGATGTTCGATAGAAACTGTTGATACCCTAACTGATCTCAAGAGTAGGGAATCGAGGATACTCAAACGACCCAGTAGAGGTGGTCGCCTTAGGGAGGGAGCACTGTGTAAGCGATACGGAAGCTGACATCTGCGTAGACAACCGAAGTGAGATCTTTTTTGTGTTGGTTAGTTATAAGCCACTGATGCATATTTGTATGGGTAACTGCATTGCATAAAATTTTATTCCAAGCGGCATTGCTAGTAGGTGAACAGATCGAAGCGCCGTTCAGTCCTCTTTCGTCATCGTTCCTGAGTTGGACTGGCGTAAGGCCACCAATTTTTTTCATCGGATGTGTTGTACCAAGCATTATCTATTGTGCCTACGACATTTATGAAGTGATATACTGAGGATCAGTTCCATTATCCATGGAAAAACGTCTCAGCAGTGATTGCCAGTGATTCAGTTTAAGGCACCGCAGTCTCTGTCAAAAGCGATAGCCTCCCAACTGAGACCAGTGTACTCTATTTCCGTGTGACTTGAAAACTTTTTGGAGATTAGCCCACATCTTACAATAAAAATCGCTCCTGATGTTCTCTTCCTGTGGAAGCTCCTCTCCAGAATGAAAGCTTCTCGTATCCCAACCCAGGTTGGTAACTGACTGCTCACATTGTGACAAAATTATTTCCAAGTCACTTGTTAGCCCCGTAACACTACTACAGCCTCTACTCTGTGCAAGGAAGAAACCGCATCTTGCTGGTTTATCGAAGCCTCGTCAGTCGGTAGAGTATCTCTCAGAGGAAAGATCTTCAAAGTAACCGCTTTCTCTCCTTTTCCAAACTGTCCTTCCAGAGAGAATGGTTGTAGTACAGTTCTTCCATCCTGTAGAGGCTATTTGAAGATACTGACCAAAATTGGCGTCTTCCCATCCAATAATCATCTCTTTAGAAGGACAGAGCTCTCTCTGTAAAGACATGAATAAGAAACGGACTCTTATATAGCCGTACGCAACATTTCTCTTGGAGGTCGCATGGCACACGTACTATACTTCAGAATACAACAGTGTTCACGAAGCAAGTAGAAATTGTCGAATTTCCGGGTTTCAGAAGCCGATCATACTAGTTATTTGATATTTCGATCGTTTCTTCTTCCAAACAAGTTAGCTTGTTGATCTTTCAGGCGTCAGCGTAGCGTAAAAGCTGGGGAATCAAATTCACTGATCCTGTTCAAACTAAATTCCCGTACAATGAGGAACCAATTCGAAGTAACCCACAGCACCTCTGCTGTAATTTCCGGTAAACGGAACCCACTGAACATTCCAAATGCCCCGTTTTGCTGTGATTCCTTTTGGGAAGTTTTAATGTATTCCTTGTAACCAAACCAATGGAATTGATCTTGATGGACTATCCACCAGACCGACCAACAACGACATCCTCCAATGGATGATCCTTTCTTGGGGGAACATTTGTCGAGCGATATTTCAGGGAATCACCTAAAAGTGGTGTGCTCCAAGTGATAGTCACTCTAGAGGGAGATGAATATAGAACAGTGCTTAGTTGTGATGGTATCATCTCATTTTAACTGATTGTGGTGTGTAGCATGTTTAGGCTAGTCTGAGCCATCATGTCAGGTCCTTGTATTTCTGGTTTGTTCTGTATCAGATGGTAACTTCACTCTCTAGCAGTTGTGTAGGCTTCACTGAAAAAGTTTCAATTTTCCATCCGAATTGAACGTAGTTATCGAGTAGTTACATTCTTACTAGTGCCGCACTTATCACCATACCACTTGCGCGAACCTTTTGGATGTGCACATAAGACAAGGAGACGATGACTGTATGGTTCATGAAGCATCTACTTCCAGCGTTAGGGTAAGCGATTGGGCATTAGAACCGTCGGATTTTAACAAGACTCAAAACCATTTCGTTTACCCATTGGTAATGTAAGTTTCCTCGGTTCGTTCTTGTGGTGGTGACGGAGTTATCGCTATTTTTCAGTCGTGGCAGTGGTCTTAAAAATACCCCTCACTGAAATAAACTGCGTTTAACTGTGATCGAACCTGTTCAATCGGTCGGCACTGTGTAAACGGATCCATGTCTGACTATGTTATGGGTAGGCTTTGACATTTCTGTTTCCCGGAGGGGATTACCGATGCTGCAGGTTCGCATAGCATTGTGATAGATCTTTTGGAATGTGACGGGATAGAACGTCTCCTTAAAATATCTATGAACCATCACATTATAGTTGCCACGAGCTATGCGTTTCGCGGATGCCAAATTTTTTGCTTAAATTCTGCACAGTTCGTACCGACAAGCGATTTGTAATTTGCTCAAGTTATCGGTTTCGCTGTCTCTGAAGTTTTCACTCGGGGTCGATGTAAATCTGATGGAATGGCGCCCTCTGCGTGGCATGAAGAACTCGTTACAGAGGCTATTAGTGCACAGGTGATGATAGCCATAATACAAATCAGAAGGTGTATGCACTAATAATTGTTTTTAACTGTGATTGACAGTTGTTTACAGGAGTGATTTGGAGCATGTACAAAATAAAGAGCAATATAAAATGTGGAGCAAGTCAACATGGAACTTATCGTATGTGAGAGTCCCTTGGTGAAAGTCCGGACATCGGGGACGTGTTTCCTCCGCAGTTTGGCTGCTACACGTATTCCATAATTGTCCGTGGACTTGGAGTGTTTGGCTGACCCCTTGCTCCCTGCGCGCGCGCGAGTCTGTGCGCTGACTGTTTTCGGTTTTCCTATATGTAGGTCCGTTTCCGCGTACGTGGGCGCGTCAGCACGTGAGTGGTTGGTACGCTCACTAGACGGTGCAGACAATCGACGTCTGATGTGACGTGGTTGTGGGCATGAAAAGGAGACACGTCTAGTGATCCAGTGAGCGACTGTGGGCTGAACAGTCAAGTGTGTGGGTGACTGGGTCGCTACAAGGCCTCGTTTCTGAGGGTTTCTCACACCTGCTTCGGTAGCTCCGTTTCCAGACCTTTCTATCGAGTGATCTAAGGCGATTGTCTGTTTTCCAAAGATTCGAGAGGGCGTCGGGTAAAAGTAGGAACAAACTTACTTCGGGTAGCTCATCGGTGCTTTTTTGTGGCTTGGAGTATCTAGGTGGCTGGTGATCCTGGTTCTCTTCACGCATACAGGCTTGCAGGCTGTGCAGTTCACATGGCTATGGTTTTCCAGAAGAAACCGAAAACGCAAAGAATGCCGCAAGCTGTTCCACTTGGTTCGTTCGACTGATGCTTGGAAACCTCTTGTCAACGAAATAATCAGGGATCAAAATGACTCCCTAGTATGCAGCGAAGCAGAGCATTTGAACCGCTGGGCATAGTACTTTGAACAGCGATTCAGCTGGCCATCTGCTGCCTCCAATCCAGAATCCTTACCCTCAACAGAAAGGTGGCCTTCAGTCTCGGAAGTGTCCGAGTGTATTTATCTACTCAAGCGTCATCGTGCCGCTGGTTCTGACGACCTTTCACCTGCTGGCGGTGGGCTCCTCAGCCAGTGCCTGTCTAGCCTATTTGAGTATATCTGGGAGAAACAGACTATCCCAAACAACCGGAGTGAATGGATAGTAGTGCTCGCAGTGAATGTATTAACCACAGAGGTGTCAGTTTGACGTTTGTTGTGACAAGGCTTCTGGTGTCACTGATTCTTCACCGTCTTACGGTGGCACGCGAAACTTCGACTCGTGAGAATCAAGCGGGATTTCGACCGGGTAGAGGCTGCGTTGACCACATCTTCACACTCCGTCAGGTGTTAGAGCAACGCCGCATGTACAGACGACCCACAATCTTGGTATTCCTTGACTTCAAGGGTGCGTTCGATTCTGTTGATCGATCAGTGTTGTTAACTACACTTGTTCAACAGGGTATGCCCCAGAGGTTTGTAAACACAATCCGATCCCTATATTCACATACTTCTGGGCCTGTGAATGTATGGTGAACTCTCCAAAAGCTTCTCTACAAAAAGTGTTGTCCCACTCTCTCCATCCTCGTCCAACTTCATCATTGATGAAATAATGAAGTGAACGCTGGAAGTTCTTCAAAACCGCGGTGTTCAAATTGTTGCTGATGAGAGCCTTGTCATTCTGGAGTAGGCGAACGACATCGCTCTCCTCTTTAAAGACCAAAGCGAAGCACAATCCCTGTTGAATAGACTGACCACCATCGTACCATCTTTTGGCATGCGCCTTACACCTTCAAAGTTCAAAATCACGCTTTAGAACGTGCTGTCTCCGAATATACCCCCTACAATTCAACCGGAATCACTAGAGATTGTGCAAATCTTTTTTGCATACCTCAGTAGTTGTATTAACTCTGATCGAAATGTTTCTGGTGAAGTCAGTGCGAGAATCTCAAAGGCTCGAATCACGTTTGCTAATTTTCGCCCCTTGTGGCCCCATATACGCATATCACTAAATCTTAAGGGTCGTGTGTACCAGGATACAGTAAGGGCTGTACTGTTGTGTGGGTGCGAGACGTGGTTTCTGGGGATAGATGATGTGAGGCGCCTCCGGGTATTTGACCATCGATGCCTCAGACGCGTGGCTGATTTTGGATGGCGTCAGCGTGTTAGTAACGAGGTTATTATAAAACGGGTATTTGATTGTGCGTCAGGTACTTCAATCGCGGAAAGCATCCAGCCCCGGTGACTACGGTGGCTCGGCTATGCGGAAACACCGTCTACCGAGACGAGTGTTGTTCTCCGTGCTCCCTGGCGCAAACCGCGAGGTGGACAGCGCATGACTTGGAGGAAGGCGTGAAAGAGATCACAAAGAGTTTGGGTGTTGTTGGTGTTTTACCCATTCCAGGATGAGGTCCTCGTGACCCTACCTATGCTTGGCTGGAGACGTTGCAGGAAATGACGGTTAATCGATATCAGTGGCGTTCGTGCCGTCAGTTTCTTTCCAGATTGTCCGATTGAGCGCTTGGAGATGTAGATACCTCAGAACGCTTGACATAGGCCAGTACTAGGTCTCCTCTCTCACCCACTCTTTTCCTCTTCTTTTCATTCTGAGGTCTTAAATATGATAAGACCAACCTTATGGTTGTACAGCAGTGAAGCATCACTGACAACACTGATGCTATCTTTTATGATGACGATGGGATTGTATTGCCATTTTTGCGGTCTACCGGTTTTCGTTTATCAGTGCATGCCAGTTGAAGTTAGCGTGAACTTTATGCGCCATAAAGAAGTAATCATATTATGTTCGCAGGTGTTTTCGACTTAGTTTTTACGTTGTGCACATTACACATTATCTTTGAATGTTTTCGCTCCGAAGCTTTGAAAGACATTCTCGATTTGCGGAAAAATCGCAAACTGCTCGTTTATAGCTATACAATATAGAAAGATTGCCACACATTTTCCCCATTGTTACAGCTAATCTAGTTTTCTGATTTGAATGGTCCACAGTACTTGGTTTCTCCTCAAGTATGTAATCGAATTCGGTCTTGGTGGGTCACCAGTCGTTCTGGTTTTGAATTCCAGTCATCTGTAAATCGATTTCATCAGAACTCTGACAATCTTTGTGGTTAGGAGTCCTCAGATAGTCATTACGGAAACCGATGACCTCGTTAGACCCACCGTGTCCGGATTTATGAGGCCGTGCGAACTGTTCCGGGGACGTGTCCTAGAGGTGTTCCGTTCTTTAATTTTCTGTTAACATATGATCTTGCAACAGCTGACTCAACCCATAAATGTTGACTGTTTTCGCCATCCCAAAACTATTAATTCTTCGTTTTCAAGTAGAATTAGTTCTCGCTTTATATAAGAAGTTCTCTTGTTACACTGGAAACTTGTTTCCAATGGTTGTTCTTCCCTAATGGAGATGTAGACATGAATAAACCCTTGTGCCTTGTGTCCACGGGCATAAAAATTGAGTCCGGACACCGTTGTAAATCAGTACGATGTATGCGTATTTCGTACTTTTGGAACTGCGGCTTATTTCTGGCCACGTGATAAAATCTTCCTATGTTGGAAACGTGCAAACACAAATCTACTGAACTAGGTCATGGTAACTGTGGAGGTGGGAAAATTACTAATCGATCAGACATAAGCTATGACTCAACTTCAGTTTTATGGTGCCTTTTCAGGAGATGTTTTCAGAGGTAAACCGTATTATTCCTACCCTGGTACTATAGTTCTTCATTGTGTTAACATGAAAAAATCTAAATTTGTGCATTACCGTTATTTGCTTCCATATCCAAAAGCAGGTATTTCTCCCTCCAAAAGAGACTATTCACACTATGACCAGCGTCCCGTTCGATGAGTGATCTTCGTTAAACCCGGGGGGGGGGGACGGAACGCACTTATTATGAGGTTTCAGAAAACTTTTCAGCAACAGCCTTATGAGTGGTGCGCCTCGTCAAGAAGACATACCGCGATACCTCGAATATCGCAGCACATTTGGTTAGAGAGTATCATAAACGGGAGACTAAGCTGATATTCAACCTGGTCTTTCGTCAACACCACCTTAGTTTGTAAAGGAGGGGACTATTTTGTTTGTGATCCCCTTATTCAGTGGCTGTAAATCGGATAGTGCGTTTATTTTTTATCCTATCATTCACCGTTTTATTTTGTTCCGACACCCTCTGTGTCTGTGTTTCCAGAATGAAGTCTGTAGGACTTCACTAATATTATGCAACCGAACGTTGTTCACATTACTGAGAGCAAACTTTTCAGTGGGAGAACCGCCCTGTACGAAATGAATGATAGCCGAAAGTTTGCCGGAAATTTAGTTGTAACAGTGTTGGTCCAAATTGCGTCCCAGCAGTTAGTTTGATCAGTTATTTTGATCACCAACGATGGTCGGACGCAGTAAATTGACCTGGACAACTTACTTTTGAAAATGTTCTAAATGCTTTGACCTCGTCCTCGTACTGCAGGAGAAGCAAAAGAACGTATCCCTACACGAAGCTTCCATTCAAACACCCTTTCAGCTTTTTGACAATCAAGTGAACTTCTCGTCTGTGTTCAAAATGCAGTGCGTCGAAATGCCTTTTTCCTGGACCCAAATTTGGTCACCATTGTTCAAAATATTCTTAGGATCGGAGGGGTGAATGTTCCAGGGTCTAAATTTGTGGTGCTACCTTGATTGGATCTGTCATGGGGTCTCGCGCCACGCTCCACTTTAATGTATACATATTTTTGTTCGGATGTGTGCTTACTTCCGGTTAATCGGTTGTTTATGTTGTACCAGTTGTCCACCAGACATGATGTGTAGTAAGGATTGGTTTTAGTGTCGGCCTGCAGCTTTGCGGTTGCACGTGTGTGACTCGTTCCAGCACACACTCGGAGCCCTTCTCTATGGGTACATAGTGAGACATTTGTCAGGAGGGACCGGAGCACATGTTCACGGATTGTTGCTATCATGTGTTTGACAGTTCTGACAAAAAAATGGCAAGGTTTTATCATCGATCTGGAGTTAACTGATGAACGGTTGTTGGCCATCGTGATCCACGTACTACGTCACATGGTCCGAACAAGGGAAGCGTTCAGCGTAAGTGCTTAGTTGTCAGCCGTTCCAGATGTCTGTATATATAGTCAGGCCTGATTCGTATGACAACCCTGGAACCCGCTATGAGCGATCGGTTATCAAATGACGTGGAAGGTATCCGCGGTTTACAGTTTTAACAGCTCGTCAGTCATATGTGGAAGACTGACAACAAAAGTAGTGGTGATCGAGAGACCGGTCTCTCTACAGGGTTATCGTATTAAATGCCTATCCGCTTTGGATTAGGCTACTATTCGCATTGAGCGCTGAACTGTTCGGAAGTGGAAGGAAGGTCGAAAACCTTATGGCCCAGTACTGTGAACAAGTTTGAATAAAAGGGTCGTTTCCATTCGGTAGCTTCGTTTATTGAGATTTTTCATCTACCGCTGACGATAATCGATTCTGGGAGTGGGGATCTAAATTTGGTTGAACAGTGGTTGAACATCACATCAGATAGAGGTATGGTATCTTCTGTCCTGGTGCAAGCAATCGCCTTGCGGATCGTGATCGGAAGGTTCTTAAGCTGTACAGTGCTGGTGATTTCCAATAAGGTTGATGCAACTGTGCGACGCCTCTCAGCGTATACTCACCTTACTTGTTATGTGAAATCTCAAATGAAACTTCGAAATTTCCCCACCATCCATAACACTTGATTTCACTTTTTGCGGCCTCATACTGTCGGCCTCCGGTGAGCTGCTCCGATATCTAATTTGGCCCTTGCTTGGGCGAAACTACCCCATTACCACGGCTAAACGTCTGCTTAATTACCACCATTTCTCGGTGCTACTTCTCAAATGAGCAGTTGATTTCGTTCTTACTCGAGCAGTGCCTAAGCAACTACTGTTGACAGATTTTCTTGATGGCTATTTTCTGATGGCTTTGAATCCTGTGCTGACAAGTGGTCCTGCTCGTCGTGTCATGGAACGAGTGCGAGTGTCATCTGGATTCAGTGTATGTCCTAGCCGTTTTTGTTTTGCCTGATAATGACGATTTTTGGCTTGTAGGAAGCAGATTTCGAATGTATGTTTGTCTTGTACAGCGAAGCTACATCCACACAGACTTGGCACTCTAGGTGGCAACATTATTCGTAGTGACAGCTATTGGATGCTGATAGACCCCAAATCACTGATAAACTGCTTCATCAGCAAAGAAGAACTATTGTGGGAGATTCGTAGTTGTGGTTTTCTAATCTTAAAGCCAACTTTCAGATGTGGGTAGCTGAACAGCAGTGAAGGAAATCTCCGCTAATGCGGGAATTGGTGGCACTACTCTTTCAATCGAGCAGTTCGTTCGATGTGTTTCGGTGTTGATCATCTCCTATAGTGCTAACATTTCGGAATACCCATGCCATTTGTGAATGTTTTCTTTTCTGAACTGTACAGCATTTCTCGACAAGATCATTTCCGAGTTAGAACGTATTTATTATCGCTTTGTACCGGTGATAACTTGATGACTTAGGTAGGTAACATGTCTTGTGTTATTCCCAACACACCCTTCTCAAACCCATTGAAATCCCAGTGTGCCACCTCCAAATTCGCCTCTGTTCTTTGGTTTCACTAGTATCCACCGTGGTTTTGAGTAGTTTGCGCAATCAACTCAAGCATTCAAGCGCATCTAAAATGTTTTTGCGTTATGTCCACACAACGTGATGTTCCCGTCTACCTCTTTGCAGTAGCAATTGCTTCCTTCACTTTGACCGACTGATTTAATTTGCCCTCGATTCACAATTGAGATTTTTCGTGTAATTAAGCGAATCATTCATTTCAAGGAAAATGAACTGCGTGGAATAACTATGAAATTCCACATCCTTGACGTTCTCATGTAATTTTGATAGATTAAGGGGGCTTATTCGGGTCGTCCATCTGGCCGGCACAGATGTGGTTTATTCTAGTGCCTCATCAGCAAGAACCCATTTGTCGATAGGATGTGGCAAAACTGAAAAGTAAAAAAACGGAGAGCTGGAAACCTCCCGACTATTAGTTGAAGACTAACGGCTGATTAGCGATGTGGTTAAATCGCACCGGTGGTTTAGTGCCATTCATCTTTCGGTGACAGAATTCACATCATATCGCCTGTTGACTTCTGCTCGAGCTTTGGCTCACCATGTGCAAAGTTCTGTCGTCATGTGAATTATTTTTTATGGACCGTTCATAGCCTATCGATAATATGAACATATTTCTGTACCTTTCAGTGAACATTCCATTCCGTGGTTGGAGCCGATCTGCGGTGAGTAGCCGACAGGCGCGCTTCAGCTGCGAGTCATTCACATAGCTGATCAGCCGGACAGACATAGCTCGTGACCGGACGGTTTAGTCTAGAAGTAGCGAGACCTAGTCTCTCTGTAGATGCGCACCTGAGGTGATTTCCAGAGTAGTAGGAGCCGCTGTTCAGTGCTTCTGTGCTTTTGGACACAGATTAGCTCCACATACACGACGAGAACTGCATTGAAAGGACCCCTTTGTTTAGTATTATTCACATACAATTAAAACGATTGTTATGGTGTCACGTGGCCCGAATATGTGCACTTACAAACCATATGTATGTACCCCGACTGTAACCGTTCGTCACACCTTAGCCGTTAGGGACGCAAGCTATATGGTGTCCTTCGTCAGTTATTTAGGTTTCCGATTTTTGTTGACATCAAGAAAATTTGATGCAAACTCGCATGAAATCAGAAGGGGTGGGATGCTGACTACAACTGGTGGCTAGGTGTACCACTGCATTCAATCCAGTCAAAATTCCTGCTCGCAACTAGAACGAGATAAGCTGATTTAACTAACGAAATTGATGTGTTGAATTGCGTTGACTTTCAGCGCGCAGTTTTTGGGGTGAATGGATGTCTGGTGTTTCGTCAGCTAATCTGAATCAATGGGGGAAGCGGTCTGTGCTTCCACCTGAGAAACGCTCTGTCCATCGACTCCTAATCCAAAAAAAGCTTTGAAGGACGAACTAAACAGTCTTTTCATAGGGGTACAACTATGTCCAGTATTTTCGATGAGATAGCCTCCGTCCGAGGAGACCGTTTGGGAACTCATTTTGTGGGAGCTCATTTCGTGTAGATGGGTTCGCTCTGTATTACGGTCAACACTTCGTCCATGTGTTTCTTATTGAATCACTCATTCATCATACAACATGTGTTATCCACTCTTCAGTCCCCGGGGACGTGTGCTACTGAAGCAGCTGTCAGCGAGGGAGCTGCTCCTCCTGACGGGACTTGTCCTGAAGGTGAGACCACAGGCCCCCCTTACAAATGTAGATTCTGCACCCAGTCCTACGCATTCTTGTACAGTCTCCAGCGCCATCACACCCAAGTTCATCTTGGTGAGTATCGTTTCAACTGTGGCTATTGCGAATTCAAATCCAACGAGCGATGTGCATTCGACGAACACTTGGCCCGACATTTTGGTCTCAAGCAGTTCGTTTGCGAAGTGAGTAAGCGCAGCATTAGAAAGAATTGAAATTGATTGTATCATTTTACTCGTAAATGAACAATGCGCAAGTCCCCTCTCACTATGCAAAGTCGACGAATATTAGGGATTCATTTGGTTTATTGTGGTCGTATGCAGTATTGGCTTTGTTTACAGATTCGATGGTTTAGGCTATCACACTGGAGCATTGTAACAAGCGCATATGAATCGTTTGACCCAACGTCGACAGCGTTGATTCGTATTCTGTCACTTTGAGTGTAGTAAACACGATCAACTGGTCTTCACTCAGTTTCGGTCCCACATCACGCGTGAACGAAATCTGGGTGACCTTGTTTGACATCATTTAACTAACTGTCACTCATCGTCCAGTTTTCACATCTACACACACGTAGGTTCCAGTTTCTAGTATAATGCTATCAGAATCTGCTCTAATCGAGTTGGTGATCAAGGTAGTTATTGTCAGAAATCCCTGTTGTAAATTAACTTCAGCAGCTAATGAAACAAAGTGCAATTGTCGATTATTTTGCTTTGTGGCTTTAAATAAATTAAACTGTGACATATGTTTGGACACGGTCACTGCGTCATGAATATTTGGCTATCCAGTCCAAATCGTCGAACTGGTAACGGACGTTTTCGGTGAGAAAGATTATCAAGAGGGGCAGTGAAGAGTTACTGGCAAGTCAGATAGTTTAAGACAAAAAAGAGCTTTCCAGGGCAAACTGTCCGGCTTGTGAGCTCGTTTTTGGTTATGGCCCGTTTTGGTCATGTACGGAAACTGGTGGAACCGATTATTCCTCTGCTGGTAGACTGTGTATTTTGTTTTTTGGTTTAAATGGAATTAGTCCCATTTTTATGTTGTGCTTCGTCGAATGGGTTCATTACGCCACTGTTATTAGTGGCTGACATCCTATTTAATCCGTGACGACTACCCACTGAACTTCCACAAACATTCTCTTCTGAACGGGCTTACGAAATTCTGTGTTGAAAAACGTTCTCATTTGTCTTAGCGGGGGCTCTATGCTTCTGCCTATTTAAGTGTAGTTCACGGTACGGCTGAGAATTTCCTCGAGGCTCTGTTGTTGGTTCATAGTCTCACGGAGATAGGTCTTTGTTCTTATACCATTTGCTTGATCTGAGGAATTGCCGTCAATCTCCTTTACCCCTGCACACTGTGGGCTTGTAGGAAAACCAGTCCAACTTTTGGGTGAATGAATGCATTGTGGTTAGATAATCTGTTGTTCGCTAGGACCATACGGATTCGCCCACATCAGTCAGGTGGGAAGAGTGTTTTACAGAAGTTTGTGCGAGACATTTCAAACAGTTAGCACAACTAACTAATGCTGCACTTCGGCACTGATTTGCTTGGTTGTTGGTTTGTACGCCGAGCTTGGCAGTTGGATTGCAAATGCTTCATCACCGATTGAGGTGACATAGTCAAACAATCAGTGCACCCGAGCTAGATATATTGCACAGTGCCGACACTAATTTGCATACCAATTTGGTTTACGCGGGAGACTCATCTGAATCCCTCGTTTATGATGTTCTTTAACTGAATGTGTTGCGCCTCCATAAACAGATTGCTGCCGTCAAATTTCAGAGGCAATTTAATCTCTCCGAAAAGCTCCTTTTTTTCGAGAGTACCGTGACAATGGTTCCAGTGTTTCATTTCTTTCAGAGATACTGAAAATATCATTGCAGACCAGTTGTGAGTCATAGGGGGAATTTTCTATGTTGGTTCAGTGGAACAGCTTTATAAGAACGTATTCGAGGATTTACCCTCTACATGTTCATGTGCACACGCTGCTCCTAGCAAGGTTTTCACAAAAGCGAGTTACAAGTTTCGCACAAGAAAATGAACCGATAGAATGCTGTGCATAAATATTTGACGTTTTGTTCCTACTTCTTTGCTAGTTGGATTCCGCGTTTAGAGGGGATCGAACTAAACACCACTGTAGTAGATGACCTTGCACGATCCGTTTGTTCGTTAGCCGCTTGTAAAGTTGAACCAAGTGAATATCATCTTGAAAGTACAGATCGTGACAGTCTAAACGGTTATGTTGACAGTCTGCTTCTTACCTAAGTATTCCTACTCTAGGTCACGAACTCTCCAGATAACCCAATCTCACAACTATCTACCATATACTCTATCCCCCCCATATTCAGGCATTGCCAATGTGGTTTCATTCGATTGGCAATAGCATGGCTATGACAGACCATGTAGGTAGCACAGACACTTGAGCTGTGTGTTTGTATGTACGTGTACGTAGGACGAACGCGATACTGATATGAACTGCTTCGCTCCCAAACCTGAGGGAAGGGCGGTGTGCACTTTAAACAGAAATATATTTAGGGAGCGGCAGAGATCGTATTGTCATCCTTATCTGATGCATCCTTACGGTTGTCGTGAGTTAATGGTTGTTCGCTGGGATGGACCAGATTATCCGGTTCTCTCCCTCGGAAAATACGGTCCCGTACACATTACAAGTTATTAGTGCTCTGCGAACAGGAAATTAAAGGCAGGCACGCAGGAAACAGTCGTCAATAGGACTGAAGAAGCTTATTGCCTCGCTTTGCTAGAGGAAGGTCATCTACTGCACTGTTGGGTGGTGTCTTCGTACTTGGTCCACATTTACTTCGATGGAGAATATTGTAATGAAATTGGGGGAGGTGAGGTCAGTGGTCCTTGTTCAAGCGATGATGGCGTAGTGGGAATGAGGACAAACTATGCGTTCGTCCTCAGTTTACCAACACTGTTTTCCATAGTAACACCCTTATTGCTGCATGAATGCCGCACACTTTGAAATTAAGAACGACCAACCTCTTCCTTGTCCTCTTGAAGTAGCGCTAATACTCATCTTTATTTTGAAAGCAGAAGGCGAGATGGCTCAAGTGGTTAGAGCGCGAATTTACTGACCGGAAGGTCCGTGGTTCGAACCCGATCTCTGCCTCTCGAATTCCTCTGTCTAGGTTTGGGCAACCTGGCAGTATCCCAGCCCTCGTGCTTCCTTCGTGTGGCATAGCAGCTAGGCACCGAAAGGGTGCTAGAGCTGAACGATTGTTTGTATTTGTATTTCGAAAGCTATGTGATCGACGGAGTCACAAACTATCATCCTTACTCACCATTCACTGTAAAGATATGTCGATACTGTGTTTAGATTAGAGCGATAAAATGCCGAGAAATCAACACGAAGTGTTTTCATCCATCTTACAAGTCGTGTTACGTGAAGCGAACGCGCGCCATCTTCTTCCCATGGGCATCCTCGAACTTCCTAATTTGATGAGTCTGACACTGTTAAAATGACATGCCAGTAACTAGGCATTACTATGGATCGGCGAGTCGGCTACTCGAGAAGGTAGACTGTTCACTTACTGGGAAGATCAGATGTGTTAGTTTTTCTCTTATCATTCGTCTGTGACCGGACAATCCGAAGGAAGAACAAAGGATTAGGTTACAGACTCGCCACTTTTTCAGACGGTCAGTTTGCCTACTATTCCAGTTAACCGGATTGACTAACTATCCACAAATGACTTGGCCAATTCATATGTAATTGCTTGATCGTGTCTGCTGCTGAATTTGCCTTCTCCGTCAGTCTGTTGGTACACGCTGGTGGCGTAAAATTTCACTGTTCCCCAATTCAGTGCACACACAAAACGTACGAACTATAATCCTTTTATATTAGTACCAACCCAAAGGGGATTGTGACCACGTTGCAGGTATTCCTATTCCTCCTACTATCGGTCGATTCACTTATGATTGACCACCGAATTTTTTCTTTGTTCGTGGCTTGATCCTGGTCAGTCTGGTAGTGTATCCTGGTTGTGATGGGTGGTGACAGTCCAAAGTAGTCATCTGACGTTGTCCTAGGCTTTCGTATTATTGTAGCGATGATCTTCGCTACAACGCACTAACGTCAGCTGATTCAACACAGTTGGTTAATTGGATCCACCCACTCCCGTAGAAGAACTTGGGCTGGCACACCTTCAATTCAAAGATTAATTCAAAGACTTGAGGTTCACTGGTAAGGAACAACCATGTAGGTGATTAGCTCAGTATCTTAGTTTATTCATTAATATAGTCCATAATCAAGGTCTCTATGTGACTACATGTTTGTATGTTGGCCACGCAAACATTAACCTTGAAGTTAGACGATATTAGAAGCTTGTAAACCTTTTCGAGAGACCTGATCGTAACGATCGATGTTCCCGATCTGTTCAGTTAATCGACGTTTCGTAGACGAACACACTTGCTTTCCGCATCTCACAAGTTGCTCCGGGGTAAGCAACCCAACTTATCCAGCCAGTTGATTTCCGGGTTCAGTTACAGAATTAGTTGCCTAGATGGGAATCTTTTCAGCTGTGTAGATTAACCTAGTGTTTACTGTCCACATTCCCGTACGAACATAACAGATTTCTTACCTTTATTTGGATACCACCTTGAGAACCGACACTTACTAGTCTCCATTGTGCCAGATCAGCGGTCTATGTACATTCGTTGTAAATCTAGACGATCCGCTGTTCGCTTGAGCAGTCGGTCTTATCTGACCACCTTTCTGCTTCAGTTCTGCGGTGCTGGTTTTACCGTCAGTCGCGAGCTGCGGGACCACTTGGCCTTCAGACACAGCTCTGAGCGCAAATTCCAATGCCCAATGTGTGAAAGGACGTTTAAGGTTGGTAATTCGTTCTTTTTGCATCAGTTGTTGAGTCACATTTTATGAATGACGTGAAAATTTCTTACATTTCGTAAACTTGAGCAGTCGCCATTTCATATTGCAAGAGTTGGCCCCATCCCACTTGTTTCTGTTAGATTTTCCTTGAATTCGCGAGGGAGTTTTGTTAGTTACTGCCCTAGTGGACTGTAACAGTTGACGCCGATTGATGCTATCGCATCGTAGCTTTGAGTGCGTTTGCCGTTCCTAATGTTTCATATGGCTCCAGGCACTACAGCTCTCAGGAATGCGTTTATTGTTTGCAGTATGCATGTATACCCTCACTGACTAATGCAACCGTCTGTGCTAAGGTTTTGTGCCATCCCTGGCCCACCCAGATGTTTCAGATTTCACACGCGATTGTTTTCTATTGCTTAGGCATGTGCGTATTACGAAGTTCTGAAAACACTTTTGTTCCATGGGGCTATTCATTGTTCTTTGTGTCTCTGTCACTCAACTGGCATACTTTAGCTCGCACGAGCTAGAGAGCGATGGTCGCTGTGAAACTTTGTTTAAGTAGTCGCTGCTCAGACGTTTATTTCCCTTAGTCGTTGTGCTTCACGTGTGGAAAACATTAGATGGGAACTGGGAGCAAAAATTTTGTTTTGTCCTAAATTAACTGACTTACATTTGAAGTGCTTTGTCAGCTTCTTTAGGTATCAGTTTGCTTTTTTTTCCAGTGTAATCGCACTACCTATGATCATTTAATGGACGATAATGGGGTTTTCGACTCAGATGGATCTTCCAGCGGGTTGCAAGATGAATCTTTATAGCTGTGTGAACGATAACCTTGTGCGTTCATTTTCCATGCCTCATCACATCATCCGGAACGATCTATAGTGTTTTTCCGGGGATTCACTTTCTATTGTCTCACTTCGCCAAAAGACCATCGCACTTTATCGTGTAAATTTGTTCTCTTTCCATTTGTTTACACCGCCCCAGACTGCCGGTACCTTGTCTCGACACAAAAAGATCCACGGAAACAGGGTGCTTCACGAGTGCGGTATGTGCGAACAGAAATTCACTCGCATTTCCAATTTAAAACGCCACTTTCAGCGCAGCCACCAACCCAAGAATACCGTGACCCCTGCAGATTCATCCAAAAAACGTGGCGTGAGGGCACAAAAATCTACCATGGAACAGCATGCAACTAAAGCATCGACTTACCATCCTTTGACGGAAACCCAACTGCCGAGGATGGAGTCAGCTTCAGATTCCGTAAGTCAGAATTGTTTCTATGTATGCTCTTATTTACGCGTTACTTATTTTCCATATATGCATATATATAATGTTTGAAATTTTCCTCTTCGTTTTGGAGCCATATTAAGGAAATCTACTTCTGAGTTTTCACTTGCCTCTTACCTCGACAATTCTCTTGAGGATGCTATTTACGCAGAATATAGTTTCCCAGTCGCATTTCTCGTTTTTGTGTGGCATTCTGGATCATGCTTATGACAAATTCCGTGGCTGACCAGGTTGACAAGGCTGCTAGTCTGGGTGCATTTACCGACGCCTACCTATTTTGACAAGTATCAAACAGTTCATGTTGAAATGGCTCAGTGTTTCAGTTACCAGTCACTGATTCAGTTTGCCGTTATCTCTGTTCCAGGTGATCCCGGACGAGAACACAGGGTCTGAGCTGCTAGCTCCCGTAAGCTACTCAGTTGGGACACATATTAACTCGACGTTGGGCCGTGAACCGGGCTGTAATCCAAGATCAGCGGATACTGCATTCGCTGGCACATTGCCGGCTGTCAGTACTGTCTTTATGCCATACTTATCTTCACAACACCAGCCACAGGCTTCCTCAGTTCACCGGTCAATGCGCCATACAGCTGACAGTCCACAACCTCCTGATTCCAGCTCTTCCTATCAAACAGTGATGTTTACCTCGCTGATTCCTCTTCAAATGCCAACCTCTCTCTTGTCACCCAGTGTACAACCCCCTGCTGATTCCGCCGAAACTATGCCTTGGTCCTGTCCCACCCAAAACATTGAATCAAGTGTTTGCTATCTCCTAAATCCAGCTACCACTTCGACTAACACGACTACAGCCAGCGGCACACACCTTGTAGCTTCGACACAACAGGATATGCCTTGTGTTACGAGCACTTCAGGAGAGCTGAACATAATTAACCTGACTGGAGAAGACCACCGCTCAACCTCCAGTTCAGATCTTTGCAATGCGTTTGAAGCTTCGCACCACGATGGTCAAGATGCTCTCTATAGCTGCTCCTCATACCAGCCGGAGCTCACCTTGCACTCAAGAATCGATACCACTCCAGTTCCGAATCCGATTGAGTCAATCAATTTGGATCATATATGGCGACCTGTTGAGTGCGACTTGCGTTCGGTTCAAAACCCACCTAACACCAACTCCGTTCTTACTAACAGCAACCTCTCGCTTCCTCTTCTTTCGCCTTTTTGTTCCGAAACTGACAGCCGACCAGATGCTGTGGATAGCCACGAATTAGTGAACCCCGGTGAGAAGGTGTTGGAACACTGCTCTCCAAGGTTTCCTTCACCTGTGTCTTGTACACTTTCTCCTCAGATTAACGTTTATGCAAACTCTCCCCTTCATCAACCGAACTTTTCCACGTACGAAACGGCACCTTTTTTATCTACTCATGCCCCTTCACAGTCTTCGCTTCCATCTCCGTCTCACACGCACATCGGTGAACGTGAAGCTTTAACGAATCCGTCGTTTGAAAACCAGAATAACTTGCCTATGCATTTACTTGTTTGCGACTCAAGCACCACACACACTCACTTCCTACCACCGATTTGGAGTTGTGCGCCCCATCTGGATTCCCTTCAACCCTATTCGACTACTGTGATATCCCCCAACGAACATCATCCCGGTTCCACTATTGATCCGCAATGTTCGAATTTTTCAGTCGGCTATTTGATTGGTCAGAACCAGTCGTATGAGCCCATGAAATCAGACCAGTCGGAAGACTGTACACTTCCGACAAGTTCTTCCTCAAGTGGCCATTACTTTGGCTACAATCAATCCGTGTCATGAACGGACATTGTGTACGCTTCCACAAGCTGCTTGAATCTTCTGCTTTTTTCGTGACATGCAGTGCTCAGCGAATTGAATATACGAAATGGAGGACAGCTCGGTAGATCTGTACATTCGGGGATTCTGCTTCAAATTTTCTTGTTCAGTCACTCATTCATCCTACCTATTTGTTTTCAGTTTTGTATACCATCCAAGACTTGAGGCTACCCAGTAGACATACTATAATGAATACGCTTTCTTCTGTATATGTTTTTAATCTCCCCAAAAATGCATCGGGTATTTGGCCTGTAAACTTTCGAGGGTCTGTTTCTTGTCAATGAAATCGGACAGGTGAAGACCAGCGTAAACGTACGACGTATTGCCTGCATATCATGCGACTGGTAAAACATGTGAACATCCATAGGTAACCTCTCCACTTCTGTTTCCGCGTCTATAAGCTCATCGCGTATATAAATCCATCCGCTGTCCCTAGTTTTGGTCACTATTGAGGAACAGAACTAGAAGCTGGTGTCCGATGGACAAATGATGAGTACCTTTCGTTTAGCATATGGTGGATGGAGTTCAGCAATGATATCATGGGAAACCAGGGTGTGCTTTCCGTAACAGCTTTGTTTTATATAAAAATAATTTCCCAAATTCTCAAATCCTATGGTACTAAAATGGGAGGCTACCGTTCAGGCTGGTAAAGAACGGAAAACGTTTGGCATGAAAAAGTAACCGGCATGCAACCAGGTTCAGAAGAATCTCTCATTTAAATTTGTCGGATATCCACCAGTTTAGCTCTCCACGTAACCGCTACTGTTATGGCAACTAATCACTAGAGCAGAAACTTGAGTCAACGGTCTTTCTGCCTCGAAAACAGAAACGGTTTGATGGAAATCGTCCTGTAACATATTGCCATTCAAACACGATTCACACGCCTGCGCATAGGTATGCGCAAGCCACTTGCGAGAGACCGAATGTTGTGCTACTTGCAAGATGGGGAAGCTGATGTAAACCCCAGGGAATTAGATAGACATGCAAACACACAGAAGCGCCAGTAGAAAGCCACCGGCCATCCTAAGCATGATTCCATAACCGTGGACATCACCGCTTGTTCTCTTATACGCCCTTCAGCGAAGTGCACAGCGAATGTGGAATTGGGCAAACGTCTGTGACTCTGAAAGTGGATTCTGGACCACCGTGAAACTGGAAGAGCGGATCGTCACCAAANGTTCTCTTATACGCCCTTCAGCGAAGTGCACAGCGAATGTGGAATTGGGCAAACGTCTGTGACTCTGAAAGTGGATTCTGGACCACCGTGAAACGGGAAGAGCGGATTGTCACCAAACGTCATCTGTATGATTATTAAAAGTATAGAGCAAATGAGGTACATCCGCTTGATGTTGTGCAACCCAGATTGTTTTCGCTCCAAACGTCCCTATATAGGTTATCGAACTCAGCTTCCTTTAGCAGTATGAGCGTTCAGCTAAATGTCTATTGCCACGCCTGGAGCCGGAGTGGCTGTTGAGGCAGCAGAATTCTTCACAATACGCGATGTTGCGACCAATAATGTGGGTACATGATGTCCGGAAAGATTAATGAAAGCCAAGTTTTTCAGGAGTTATGTTTGGGGAAAGGCGGGGTTCTGTTGAGGCTAATGGTGTGGGTATTCGGTGCTAATTGACCTCTGCGCAGTCATCCACAAAATGCATATATCTGCGTAGCTTCGTTTTGAGTGATTATCGCGTCCTTTACCTGCTTGGCGACTTTTGTGAAAATCAGGTCAAAATCTTCGTCTTTCGATATTAGTCAATTCATTTCGAATGCCTCGGCAGATAGTCTTGTGCGTAGTACCATCTACATGATGATACAACGATTCTGTCTGAGGACCGCTGAGCGACCGATCTTTATTATCTCGAACACGATCTGCATAGTTTCTGCCCAATTCAGTCACAGACATACTGTTGGTTCTCCGTTTTGGGTCCTTGCTTAGCATGTTGTTGGGTTACTCGGTTCTTTGGAGATTTGACCGCATTTCCAATGCTGAACGGCATCGATTGTCCCCGCGATTTTTCGGTTCCGGTCCAATATCATTAAAACCCCGGTCGATGGGGTTTTAATTGTGTCAGACTGTTCGGTATTCCTTATTTATTCTCCTTTAAGCGTTCGTTTGTAATTCGTTTTCCGACCATATTATATCCTGTGTTTTGAAAACATGAACGGGCATATTTAAATGCATAATTTATGTCTAAGTGAGGCGTTTGCGAACAAACCAGAAATGGCGAAGATACACTCATTTGCAAACTAATTTGGTTTTTCGAGAGACTCACCTGGAACCCAGCTGCATCTCTCGTTTGTGAATGAGTTTGCAAAGGAGTATATACTGGCCACTCTAGTGCAATTTGGTTTCAAGTAGAACAAAAGGTTGACGGAAATTCGGGGACTGCGCCCACCTGATGAGCCTCAAGAAGGGCGTAACCGGTCGTGGACTGTCGACGAATTTTCAGCAACCTTATGAGTAGTGCATTACCAATAAACCAGAAAGGGCTGGGGGTGGAAACCCCAACCGACCAAAGGTCACAGCATCCCTCCTACACAACTTTCTTAGCACTACCTCACCCACACAGACTAACAGAAGGTTCAAACGAAGTTCAAGAGGAACCATCAAATGAACCGAACCAGACCCTAGGCAGGACCCAAACACATGTAGGTTTCCCCACCGACCCAACACTTGTTCAACCACTCTAACACACTAAAATCCCTCGGCCGACACCCAACAGAGGTTTAGCTTAACTTAGCTGATTGGTTCTCCTTCCGCCTTAAATCTCGATCAACCTCGGAACCTAGTCACTTGGCCTTACGAAGCTTTTCTGTCAAAAGCGAAACGTTGCCCAGCAATAAATCTACCGATTGTCACCAAACTTTTTCGAAAACAGAAAGTGCTTACTTTTGTGGTGCACCAGTTCGAATCCGTTTACCACTAAAAGAAGCAAACACGAGAAATAGTCAGTGCCAGCAACCGGAATACAATATACAGTTCCTCAAATAAAATCTACTCTGTCATTTATTGATTTCGGTTCCGGGAATATTTAGTGTTTCGAGAAGAACCTGCTTTGGTACGAATAGGTTGGTAACTTTTTCTATACACTATTAGTTAGGACTGGGATTAAGGTGGAAATCGATAAAGCCAGTTTCTAATGGCAAAGTAGAAAATACTTGAGAAAAGTGAAGAGATTTCGGAGATCATTTGGAACGAGCATTCTTCGATCGTATTATGGGGGATTTGGCTCCGTGTGTAGTACATCCGAGTCATCGGTGTTTTTCTGAAACGCCGTTGAGGTAGATGAGGCAGTGCATACTTACGCCATAAGAGTGGATCTCAATTATGGCAGAACTTTACCACCGAGAATTTGTCTGCATTCAGTAGCGTGGTGATGACCCTCGTCGCTCGTGGGTGCTCCTATCTACAGCATTTTTGTGGTTCACTTGGGGAGCACCAGAGTTACGCAAAAATGGACACTCCTAGCCCAGCATTAAGTAGTTGTGGTCGGTCGTTGGCTTGTTCGCTGAGCTGAGCAATCTGATTGCAATTGTTGGATTTCAGGCTAGTCCAACCAGATTTTAACGTGTTAAGCAATTTTATGAGGAGTAACCTTGCCATGGCAATCATTGGTAGGCGCCTCTATCTACGTAATTGTGTCGTCCATCCCGATCACATAGAACGATGCCTGGTGGCCTTGACGAAACAATGACAAAGCACGTGACCTCCCTACATGGCTAACCTGATCTTTTGTTGGCACAGATGGTTAATAGGTATCTGCACTCATTTAAATGCGTGAGATGGTGTCATCTCGACTACTCAGTTCCGTTTCAGTATCTCCCAGCAAAAGTTGAAGGACACTGAAGTCATTTACATTCATTCATGAAACATTTACTAAGTTTCTCTAAACCGTCTTTGTAATTATTGTGGGAGGATTGAGCTCCTGCGAACTGAATACTAATTACAGATATTACCAGGAGACACGTCTGATCTTTCTTTGTGGTAGTCAAAGGCACTCTCATCCACAACCACCGTACGCTTTAAGGAGCAATTTGGCCATCAGCCAATGATAAATGAAACGTTGGCGCCGTCCAGTTTTGTAGTTGTGTACATCACATGCAGACTGTCGTCGTCACGCTTGAAATGCGATGAGACTAAATAATCTGGCTGTCTCGCTTCTCTGTATACAGTCCGGTGATATCAGTTCTACTACACTGAGAAATTTCACACCAGCCTTATAGGAAACGACTACATCGAAGAATCCAGAGCATTTCAAGACACAATCGAATCGAAACTGAAAAGTGATTTCTCTCATTATCGCCTTCAGATCGACAAACAGTTACTAACCTGGTATGATGGTCAACTGAAGATTTGAAGTAGATAGAATGTCCTAGTTACGGTTAGGTCCTGTTCGCAATTCACTGACCTGCAGTTTCTTAAAACTATACATCTTGCAAATCTTTTATCTATGGATTTTCGAGAGATTTCCTAAAAACTAGTGGTGAAGCAAAAGTAAACAGCAACACGGTTGTGTGTTCTGGTATTCGTCGTATATGTTGAGAAAATTTCCAAGTCAACTCAAAAGCTATTTCTAACGTTCACACCACATTTCTTAGGATCCCTCTATCGAAGCGTAAGGTGCCTTAGGAGATGTGTGAACTACCTCGTGTGTACTGAAGCGGTGCACATCAGTCAAGTCTTTTTCATACTTCATACCGATCTATTTTTAGTTCTCTCGCAGGCTTTATCAGTATTGCTGGGGAATCAAATGAGAAATGCCATAGAAACCAAATATGAATATCGAAATTTAACCTTTTTGCTTCATACAGCAGTCCCAATAAGAAAGCCTTTACACTTTTCATCAAGAGGGAAAGAAACATTTTTTACCGTCACGTATTTCAGCCATGAAAATGTTGTCGACTTTGCTTAAGTTGAACAGTGCGATTGAACGACTCATTTGAGATTCTATAAATTTCATGTGTGAACTGAAGAATTCCCTGGTTTGTTCACTTGAAGAAAACGGTAGCGAACTCACGTTCTACTTCCATCAAGGTGATTACAAATCTGTCTTACGGCGAAAGTCCATTTAGCTCTATGGATTCTTCATGAAGTGAAAACTATTTATTTTCATATATGGCACTTTGTGCCTCGTAAACTTGTGGAGATTTCGTCCTGTAAGTGAAGCCAATCTATGCTGAAAAGCCGAGGAGCACTGTGCAGCTGTTCCATCCTTATTGGGAATCATCAGTAGTGCGCATCTCACGAAACTCGTGGCTGAACGGTTAAGTGTTCACACTACTAGCCGGGAGGTCGCGGGTTCGAGACTCTTCGGAGTTTCGTGAGATGCGCACTGCTGATGATTCCCAATAAGGATGAAACAGCTGTACAGTGC